CCCTCTCTGGCTCCTTGTAGGCCCTTCAGATATTGAAAAGTTGCTCTGAGGTCTCCACACAACCTTCTCTTCTCCAGGCTGAACAGCCCCAACTCCCTCAGCCTGAACCTCATATCCCATCTTCAAATAAATAAGAATCCATTTTATATGTAATTAAACTATTTCAAGTGCAGAATATGTAAATTGAAAAATCATTAAAAGTATTAAAGGCAGTAGAATCATCTATAGTCTATGTATAGCAGCTTTCAAACACCAAAATGAATTGACCTCAGAATCATAAAATAGGCCTTGAGGAGAATTTGAAAGGTCATGTAGTCCATCACAAGGCCATAAAGCAGAATAAACTTTACCTATAACATTCCTGAGGGATAACTCCTTTCCTGACAAGGATTTCTATTTATTAAAATAATTCTGAATTCCTATCTTGTCCTTCATTGCCATTCTGTATCCCAACTGTACTTTCGGAATATTTTTTGACACACACACTTAACATTCAGGTCTATATACATCAAAATGTGCATATTGCAGAATATGTGTAAAGGAAAAAATCATGCCTGCACAGCAAATGTTTAATTTGGAATGAAAACAGCCAAAATCCTGTTTGTATATAGAGGTCTACACACTTATTTATGTATGTATGCATTACATTAGCAATAACAAGGCCAACACCTAATACATTTAAAATAAGTTGTTTAAATGTTAGATGTACTCTAGTCTACAATCTGAACTTCTGGGGATTTGATTTAGGTTATTCAATGGAAGTTTGTTTCTACAGAATCACAGAACTGGTCAGGATGGAAGGAACCATAGTGGCTCATCCAGTCCAACCCCCATGCTCACTCAGGGCCACCCATGTGCTCATGGCACAGGACTGTGTCCAGATGGTTCTTGCATATCTTAGGCCATGGAGAATCCCATGACCTCTCTGGGCAATCTGTTCCAGTGTGTAGTGACCCACACAGTAAAGAAGTTTTTCCTTGTATTCAGATGGAGCTTCCTGTGCATCAGTTTCTACCTGTTGCCTCTTGTCCTATTGGTTGGCACCACCAAGAAGAGCCTGGCTCCAGCCTCTGACACCCTCCCTTCAGACACTGATAGACATTGATGAACTCCCCTCTCAGTCACCTCTTCTCAAGGCTGAACAGCCCCAGCTCCCTCAGCCTGTCCTCATAGGAGAGATGTTCCTGTCTCTTTATCATCTCTGTAGCCTCTGCTGGACTTGCTCCCTGTTTCTCTTGTATGGTTCAGCCCAGAATCTCTGGATTCAATAACTCAAATGAAGCTAATTTTCCCCACATAGAACCAACTGAGTTTGCTGTGACCACATGCCCAAACACACATGAGTATATAAATACACATAGAAATGCACACAGCACTTACAAAGACCTGAAGTTTGACTTCAGACTATTGCTTAGTGCTCAGTGTTTCTTACTAAGAACCTAACATCTCTACAAACTCAAATGCAATTTAGAAATAATTGTTTGCCTTTTAGAGCCAGAGTATCTTTTCAGATAGAACAAGAAATTAAATGTTTGCATGCCAATAACAAATAGATCCAGTAAAGAATATTTCATTTAAGAGGCTCCTCCACTTTCCTGGGATGGGGGCAGGGATGTCATTTCTTTGTTTTCTAAATGTCTGTTCTGTAATAACATCACTTGAAGCTACCATGACTTCATGTGTAAAGGACATTCTTTTTATTCTAAAAATCATTATTCTTCTCCTGGAGACTGACAACAATAAAACTGTATAATTAAATACAGAGGTAAAAGACAGAACAAGAAAGTAGTTCCCTAACTGCTGCTGTAGGATCAAAGCATTCTGAAAATTAAATTAAGAAAATGAAATGCTTTACCATGCAATCTTGAAATGCAATTCTGTATTTAAAGTCTAATGCAGATTATTTAGAATGAGGTTTAAACCAGAATTGCATCTCTAAAACATGAAGCAGACACACAATTACACTGCATTTCCTTTGCCTTGGGAGCTCTCAAGGATACACTGCACTAGTATTTATGTCAGCTCAAGGCTAATTTTTCTGCTCACAAACAGTGTTGGATTTGTCTCTTCATTTTTTATCAGAGGGCAGTGAAATCTTTTATCCATTCACAGAGTAATTTCAGGAGGAACAGTGACTATGTCCATGTTCCTGTACAGGCCAAGCACTGTGCACTAGTACTGACCTTGTGGGTCAGGCTCTGACAGGGACAGGGAAAGCTGTGTTCACTCATTACAGCCTTTATTTTCTGAGTTATTATACCAGTGAGGATGCTAATTGAGGCTCCTATAACAGCAAAAATTTTGGCACCAAACCGAAGTTTATTAAGGCATGTTATCCTTTGAGTGTGATAGACTTTTTCATGTGCAGAAGTTCTGATTATTCTCCAAGCTCTTTGACACTGGACAGACCCTGTGTTGTGCTCATTGCAAATCAAGAACAAAAAGGCCCATCTTCATCATCAAGTCCTGGTGCTTTGCAGGCATCCTCTGCTACTTGTTTTTCAAACTTCTTAAACTCACAAAACTCTAGTTGTTTTGACTCTTCCAAAATGGTTTCATTGTTGCTCCAGCAATTAGGAATCCACATCTAATAACTAATGATAATATCTTCTTGGCTAAATCACACTACCTGCAGAACACTTATTTGGCTTAAAATGTTATTTTCACCTGTCTTCTCCTCCAGAGGTATTTCTAGGTGACAATCAAAGTCTTTCACTCTCTACCTAGCAGCTAGAGATAAGCAAGAAAAGTCAGTGTTTCTCATCTCATAAGACAGGCCCTTTATGTTGCCTTTCTGTGCAGTTATTCCAATTTTAGGTTGGTTATTGAACAAGCATGGTCAGCACTGGGTGCACTGTTCCAGAGCAGAGTTCACTGGTGTCTGCACAACAGCTCTGTAACTTCCTTGCATCAGCTGGAGATTCAGCCATCACAGGATGACATTTGCTATTTTCACAGCTCTATTACACTGCTGATTTACACTCATCCTCTCACCAGCTATTACATACACTTTCCTCCTTCTGCTGATTTCCCAGGGTTCAGGAGACTTTCTCCAATCTATGAAATACAACCTGTTTCATAACTGAACTGCTTAGTCTTAAAAAGTTATGGTTGGAGCTTTTCCAAAGAGTCTGGTTTTGACTAGGAATACACAGGGACTATTCCCTCTACATCTGAGCAATGACAGCTCTGTAACATTTTAAAATATCTTCACTGACAAACCCACTGACTACAAATAGCAATAAATTTATGTTACCAGATAATAGTAATTCCACAAGAGAAGAATGCTGTCATGTGTCAAAAGTGACAGTGAACTTCCCAGTCCCTGCTCTCATACCAGTGGTCACAGAACCATTTTTCCCTCATTATCTGGCCCCAAAACCACATAAGGAGTGCCTCAAAAGGCCTGCTGTTCTTTCCTGACAAAGGCATCTGTCCTCAATAGAAACATCCTTTCAGACCCAGATAGTTCCTGTCTTAGTTCAGCTGCCAAACCTCTTATCACCCTTGGTTTTCTCCAGCAACTTGTCTCTTGTCACCTCCTTTTGTTTTCCAGCCTTTTAGTCACCATGTTCATAATCCACCTATTTAATTAACAGAGAAAGAAATGCTGTTTCTTTACAGCTACATTTGGTCACTCGCATTAC